GTCAGAGCAAGAAGCAGGCAGGTAAGTTGCAGAGCCCCCCCCCCCAGTCCAAAACAGTCCAGTGGCACCTTTAAGGCCAAGTTCTATTCAGCTACAAGCTCTCCCTCCTCTGCGAGGACAGATCTGCACGTGTCCCACCCCCCCAAATAGCTAGCAATCCAAAACAGTCTGGTGAATCCTGAACGGTGGGCGTTGCCTTCTGACACACTTCCAGTGATGGCATATGCAAATATAAGTTATGCTAATGAGTTATGCTAATGAGCTCCTGCACCTCTTTTTCTACGGAATGACTCCTGGGCCACACGTCTGTTCGTGGCCCCGTGGTGGGGGGAAGAGAGAAGCAATTCAGGACTGCCAACTCTGGGTTGGAGATTTAGGTGTGGAGCCTGGGTGGGGAGGGACCTCAGTGGGGCCCAGTGCCCTAGAGCCCACCCCCCAAGGCAGCCATTTTCTCCCGGGGGGGAACTGATCTCTGCAGTCTGGAGACCAACTGTCATCCTGGAGGTTGGCAACCTTAAAGCCACCAGACTCTTCCACCACAGATCCCCAACCCATCTCAGCGCTCATCAGTGGCCCTCCAGATGTGTTAATAGGGCATTTTCCCTGAGGCTTGAAGCTAGAAGACTTGGCCATTGGTAAGGAACCAACCACCTTTAAGTGCATAAAGGTAAAGGTTCCCTTGCTCGAAAGCCAGTGGAGTCCGACTCTAGGGTTGCGGTGCTCATCTCCGTTTCCAAGCCGAAGAGCCAGCGCTGTCCAAAGACATTTCCATGGTCATGTGGCCGGCATGACCAAACACCAAGGCGCACGGATCGCTGTTACCTTCCCACCGAAGTGGTACCTATTTATCTATTTGCAATTTCTTGCTTTCAAAATGCTATGTTGGCGGGAAAGTACATAAGAGAAGCCAATGTTGGATCAGGCCAGTGGCCCATCCAGTCCAACACTCTGTGTCACACAGGGGCCAAAAATACCAGGTGCCATCAGGAGGTCCAGCAGTGGGGCCAAGATACTAAAAGCCCCTCCCACTGTTGCCCCCCCCCCAAGCACCAAGAATAAAAAATACAGAGCATCCCTTGCCCCAGCCTGAGAGTTCCTTGTGGCTAATAGCCACTGATGGACTTCTGCTCCATATGCTTATCCAATTCCCTCTTGAAGCCCAATGCTTGTAGCCGCCACCCCCTCCTGGGGCAGTGAATTCCATCTGTTAATCACTCTCTGGGTGAAGAAGGACTTCCTTTTATCCATTCTAACCCAACCGCTCAGCAATTTCATGGAGTGCCCGCGTGTTCTTGTGTTGTGAGAAAGGGAGAAGAGTACTTCTTCCTCGACCTGCTCTATCCCATGCATAATCTTATAAACCTCGATCATGTCCCCCCTCAGCCGTCATTTCTCCAAGCTAAAGAGCCCCAAGCGTTTTAACCTGTCCACAGGAAAAGTGTTCCAGCCCTTTTATCATTCTAGTTGTCCTTTTCTGCACTTTCCCCAATGCTTCAATGTGCTCTAACACTCATTCAGAAGTGTCAAAGAATTTTATTTCACCATTAAGAATTCAGAAAAAAAATCCAGGCCTTCCAATAACTCTGATTAATGAGCCTGATGATTGGCTTGTTATCCTATGGATTGATTTGCTATATTTTAGAGTGTTCCTGTCCTTATTTTCACCCTTACCTGAATCTGTTCTTTGACCTCCTGGTCTCTAAGCAACTATATCTTAGTCAAGGTCTGGTGCTGTGTTATCTTGCAGGGAGAAAAGCGTATAATATTTGTTTTCTTAATGTCTCTCTCACGAATGTGGAATGTATTCTAATCAGAGGGTAGGGTGAATTATGTTTAAGAACAGAATGGTTGAGCGCCAGTTCCCATCAGTCATTTCTCATAATGTTGTGTAAGTTCCTTTGGCAGCTTAAGCTACCCTGTGAATGTAGAACACGAGGAAGGACTTTGTAGGCCGTATCTGTTTTTCACATCTACTCTGCATCCTTTGCTTCAAGGAGAGTGATGCATTTATTAAAACACTGGGGGGAAAACCACCTTTCCTCTTGGTTCAAGGCAGCTTATGGTAATAGCGAAAGACATTTGCAGTTAAAAGCAAAAAAGAAAATGGCAAACCCCAAATCTCCCCCCTCCAAAAAAAAAGATGTCTGCCATTAAAAAACGAATCTGGTGAAAGCTGCAGACATTCGTACATCCTGGGGGCAATTGCCTGCCTCTCTTACTTATTTGAAGTAAACACACACAACTCACAGACGGAGTGGGATAAGACGCTGGGGGCTGGGTAGTGGGAACTGTGATGTGTGAATGGGGATTTTTTGGGATCTAGGCAATGATGGCTCATGCTGAGCTGCAGATCGGAAGGTCTGTGGTTCGGCAGTTCGAGACCCCAGTGCCGCATGGCGGGGTGAGCTCCCGTCTCTGGCCCCAGCTCCTGCCCGCCTAGCAGTTCGAAAGCAAGAAATCGCAAGTAGATAAAGAGGTACCGCTTCGGTGGGAAGGGAACAGCATTCCGTGCGCCTCGGCCTCTAGTCATGCCGGCCACATGACCATGGAGACGTCTTCGGACAGCGCTGGCTCTTCGGCTTGGAAATGGAGATGAGCACCGCAACCCTAGAGTCGGATTCGACTTGGCTTTCGAGCAAGGGAAACCTAGGCAACGATATCATGCCCTTCTTTTATTTATTTATTTATTTAATTTTATTTATACCCCGCCCTCCCTGCGCGCGGGCTCATGGCGGCTTACAATGTACGGGTGCAGTACAACACCGTAATTCCATAGTAAAGGCACACAGTGCAGTAAAAACACAATAAAAACACATTTTAAAACAGATAAATACAGTTAAATGCAGTGGGCAATGCCCAAGGATCCCGCGTGACTGCCATCACGTCGCAGCCAACCAGGGTTTCCAAGGCAAGAGACACTGAGAGGTGGTTCGCCACGGCCTGCCTCTGCTTAGTGACCCTGGACTTCCTTGGCGGGTCTCCCATCCAAGGACTCACCAGGGCCAACGCTGCTTAATTTCCAGGATTTGACGAGGTCAGGCTAGCTTGGGCCGTCCAGGTCAGGACAGGAGACATTCAGAGGTGGTTTGCCATGGCCTGCTTCTGCGTCACCACCCTGGTCTCCCATCCAAGTACTAACCGGGGCCGACCCCGCTTAGCTTCTGAGACCTGATGAGATCAGGCTAGCCTGGGCCGTCCAAGTCAGGACAAGAGCACTTCTATGTCCAGCCACTGGCAAGGGTACAGGATACCTGTGCACACAGGTGCTATCTTTTATGTGTGTCAATTGGGGTACCTAAGTGCTTCTACCCGGACATTCTTCGGATCTTCTGTGTCTGAATTCACAGGGGTGTATTGGTGGCGGCAGTACCCTTGTCACAATAAGGGGTTAAAAAGGTAAAGCTTCCCTTGCTCGAAAGCCAGTCGAATCCGACTCTAGGGTTGCGGTGCTCATCTCCGTCTCAAAGCCGCAGAGCCAGCACTGTCCGAAGACGTTTCTGTGGTCATGTGGCCGGCAAGGCGCACGGAACGCTGTCACCTTCCCATTGAAGTGGTACCTATTTATCTCCCTGCAATGTCTTGCTTTCGAACTGCTAGGTTGGCAGGAGCTGGAACTAGACGGGAGCTCACTCCGTCATGCGGCACACTCGGGTCTCGAACTGCTGAACTACCGACCTTCCGCAGCCTGCAGTTCAGCGTCTTAACCACTTGAGCCACCGCAGCTCCTAAGGGGTTACAGTTACATTAAAATACCACCTACAAGTATCAAGGAAGAGCCGGTTTAATTTTCACGAAGAGCTACTAGGGGACTCAAGCGCAGCAGGAGATTTTATTTTCTCACACGTCTGGAGAACCTTGCTGCTGCCCCCCCCCCCCAATCAATGCTGTGTAAGAGTTAACCGCAGGAGCTCGGTGTTGAGGGGGAAGGCCCTCTGCCTGTGGCCAGAGGCAGCGCTCCTCCACTCGCTTGCTGAGTGGCTAAGCACACATTCAAATGGGAGTGTATGCAGCGGCAAACGCGAGCAAGTGTTACACTTAGGATACAAGAGTCCAGTAGCACCTTACGGACTAAAAAAAAATTGTGGCAGGGTATGAGCCTGGAAGGCCAGAGACTGAAGCTGAAGCTCAAATACTTTGGCCACCCAATGAGAAGGGAGCACTCACTGGAGAAGACCCTGATGCTGGGGAAGATTGAAGGTCAAAGAAGACGGGGACGGCAAAGGATGAGATGGTTAGACAGCGTTACCGATGCAACGAGCATGAAATTGAGCAAACTTCAGAGGATGGCAGAAGACAGGAGGGACTGGCGTGATCTGGTCCATGGGGTCGCGGAGAGTCGGACTCGACTGTGCGACTGAACAACAACAACAACAACAATGAGCTTTCGTTGAGTCACTGCTCACTTCTTCGGATACCTGAAAGTTCATCCCCTGCCACAAGTGTTCTTAGTTGTTAATCTTTCAGGTGCTCCTGGACTCCTGCTGTTTTCTGGCAAACACGGCTACCTGTCTTGATCACACTTAGGATTGGTGGAGTGGTTAACTACGGGGACCCTAATCTGGGAGAGCCGGGTTTGATTCCCCACTCCTCCACTCGCAGCTGCTGGATGACCTTGGGCAAGCCGTAGTTTTGTCAGGGCTGTTCTTGAAAAAGAGCCGTTCCTGTCAGAGCTCTCTCAGTCCCGCCCACCTCACAGGGTGTCTGCTGTGGGGAGGGGGAGGGAAAGGAGTTTGTAAGCCGCTCTGAGACTCTGAGTGAAGGGCGGGGTCTAAATCTAATATCTTCTTCATCTTCTAATTGGGCTAGGCCACACCTTGCCTTCATTTGGAGAGTGGGCAGAGCTGGAAGAGTTGGAAATGCTTTGGCTAAGGGGAAGCCCTTGTCTCGGTAGCTTCAGCTGAAGCACAGAAAAGGGATCCCTCTACAGTGGCAGCAAAACATTCCCATATAACAGAGTATTTTTTTTAAAAAAAGGAATCCCAACCATCCCCTTCCGGCCTAGCTGCGTTAAGTGAACAAACCACGCCCAAATACACAAAGTGATACAGGGGGGAAAGTCCTTCTTTTCTTAAGGCAGCAAACAACCCGAAATGATGCAAATAATTTATTTAGCCCCCTTTAAACATGAGAAAATCTCGTGTGGAGCTGCCACTGTACACTTATATACATGAAGAGCTTCCTGGGGAAAAGCCCCCAGTACAGTTCCGAGGTCTGTTTCAAAATCCAAGATGCAGGAAACATGAAGACCGTCTTGTCCAAATCAGTTGGTAATCTTCATTCATCCGCTCTGTCTTGGAAGAATTCGTCATAAGCAGAAGGCTTCTCTTCCTCTGTTTCCTGGTAGGGAGGAAACCAACACAAACTTTTAACACTCTGGGTTTTTCCCCAAGTTTGCTCAAGTGTCTAATACACACACCCCAGCTCTGGCTAGAAGAGAAAGAACACTCCTATTTGCCTTTACGAAAACTGCAATCCTATATATGTTTACTCAGAAGTGAGACTTACTCCCAGCTAAGGGCCAGTAGGGCTGCAGTCACAGAGATATACGCTCAAGATGGAGCATTTCAGGTCAGACCAAAGGGTCTTGCAGCTTATCAGCCTTTAAGCTTATTTGTGTCCATTTACCCTTTGGTGTAGGGTTTGACCTGTTTGTCCTATGCAGAGAGCTGCAATTTACACATCCTAGGTAAAGGTTCCCTTGCTCGAAAGCCAGTCCAATCTGATTCTAGGGTTCCGGTGCTCATCTCCGTTTCAAAGCCGAAGAGCCAGCGCTGTCCGAAGAAGTTTCCGTGGTCATGTGGCCGTCATGACTAAACACCAAGACGCACGGAACGCTGTTACCTTCTCACCGAAGTGGTACCTATTTACCTATTTGCAATTTCTTGCTTTCGAACTGCTAGGTTGGCAGGAGCTGGAACTAGAGATGGGAGCTCACTCCATCATGTGGCACCCGGGTCTCGAACTGCTGAACTACTGACCTTCCACAGCCTGCAGTTCAGCGTCTTAACCACTTGAGCCACCACAGCTCCATTACACATCCTACTATATTGTTATTCCAGTCTTGCTGTTTTTATTGCTCAGTTACTTATTCATCGTGACTCTAATCATCTCTTCTTGACGACTAACTCCCCCTACCTGCATGTAATATTTGAGGAAATCTGTTTCAATGTATGTGAAGAAGTGTGCACATGCTAAGAACATCAGAGAAGCCAGTGTTGGATCAGGCCAGTGGCCCATCCAGTCCAACACTCTGTCACCCATTGGCCAAAAATACCAGGTGCCATCGGGAGGTCCATCAGTGGGGCCAGGACACCAGAAGCCCTCCCACTGTGGCCACCCCCCCCCCAAGCACCAAGAAGACAGAGCATCCCTTGCCCCAGCCTGAGAGTGCCTATCTATACCCTGTGGCTAATAGCCACCGATGGACCTCTGCTCCAGATGTTTATCGAATTCCCTCTTGAAGCCATCCATGCTTGTAGCCGCCACCCCCTCCTGTGGCCCCTGGAGCATTTCAGCTTAGTACAGTAGAGGCCAGATTTCCTGGCCAGGACTGAAAAGAAAACGGATGCCAGAGGTGGGGGGGTCACAATTGCTTTCTTGAAGTATCTGAAGGGCTGCCACTTAGAGGAGGGCAGGGAACTGCTCCTGTTGGCCGCAGAGGAGAGGACTCGCAATCGTCGGTTTCAATTATGGTCAGAAAGGTACCAGAAAGTACTTGAAGGGCTGTCTTATAGAGGATGGTGTGAAGTTCTTTTCTGTTGCCCCAGAAGGTCGGACCAGAACTAACGGGTTGGCATTAAATTAGAAGAGTTTTTGGCTAAACATTAGGAAGAACTTCCTGACAGAGCGGTTCCTCAGTGAAACAGGCTTCCTCGAGAGGTGGTGGGCTCGCCTTCTTGGGAGGTTTTCAAACAGAGGCTCGATGGCCATCTGACAGCAGTGCTGATTCTGTGAACTTAGGCAGATCATGAGAAGGGAGGGCAGGAAGGGTTGCCTCAGTGCATAGTTGTTGTGGCCCTTTCTTACACGCCTAGGGAAATGCTGATTGCCACTCTGGGGTCAGGAAGCAATTTTTCTCCCGGCCAGTTTGGCTGGAGATCCTGGAGGTTTTTTGCCCACTTCTGGGCGTGGAACAGGGGTCACTGTGTGTGTGTGGGGGGGAGGTGTTTGTGAATTCCCTGCATTGTTCAGGGGGTTGGACTAGATGACCCTGGAGGTCCCTTCCAGCTCTATGATTCTGTGATTAGGGAAAAAATACAGTAATAGTAGCTCAGCAGCGGAATGGGCTGCCTAGGAGGGTGGAGAGCCCCCCCTCCCTGGCAGTCTTCAAACAGCGACTAGACGATCACTTGTCAGGGATGCTCTAGGCTGGTCCTGCACTGGGCAGGGGGTTGGACTAGATGGCCTGTACAGCCCCTTCCAACTCTATGATTCCAGGATTCTCTTTAATGCATTGCAGAGGGAGCCACAGTACAGAAGAGCACACACTACGGTGCCTGATCTTTCCCTCTTTTTAGAGGTATATTCCAGACCCCTTAACTTCACTCCTCAATCGTGCCACTGAATACAACGCTGGCTCTCCTTTTAGCATAACCAACACATGCCTTGCATTTATTTACTTAATCTGTACCCCGCCATTCTCTCCAAATGGGAACTCAAAGAGGCTTACATTCTTCTCTTGTCCCCCATTTTATTCTTGCAACCACCCTGGGAGCAAGGCTCCCTCTAAGCTGTGGAGTCTTGTAAGCAAAGATTCTACTTTGTGAACCGCTGGCATTAGCGTTGTGAGCAAGCGATTTGGCTACTGCATAAACTAGTTTGCCATGGAGCCCTCCTTCCTGAGCTTAGGCAAAAATGTGTGAGCCGGAGGCTAAAAAACGGAGAACTGGCTCGCACTAACTCAGCTTAGAGGGAACACTGTCTGGGAGGTCGGTTGGGCTAAGCGTTTGTGGCTGGCTCAAGGTCACCTGGCACGTTTCCATGGCACGAGTGGGGATTCACCGAAATCAGAACCATCATCGTCCTGGATGGCTTGATCCAGGCTACTTCCCTGGTCACCTCTGGCGAGTAAAATGAGCCTGCAGGTCACCAGGCAAGGAAATATCACAAACATCATTTTGTCAATGCCACAAATGAGCCTAGTAAAAACTCTGTGCCCACATTCACTTTCCCCATGTTTGGTGTCGTGGTTAAGTGTGCGGACTCTAATCTGGGAGAGACGGGTTTGATTCCCCCACTCCTCCACTTGCACCTGCTGATGTGACCTTGGGTCAGTCACAAGCTCTGGCACAGCTGTCCTTGAAAAAGAGCAGTTTGTATCAGAGCTCTCTCAGCCCCACCCACCTCACAGGGTGTCTGTTGTGGGGAGGGGAAGGAGTTTGTAAGCCGCTCTGAGACTCCCTTGGGGAGTGAAGGGCAGGGTATAAATCCAATCTCTTCTCTTCTTCTTCTTATTTTTCAAGAGTGGCTTAGCCTCAGCTCAGAACCCCCGGTTTTATCATGACTCGCACCCCAGATCTTTGGCTCTTTACCTTTGGCTCTTTAAACTCGAGGTCCTCTCCGTACTGAATAGCGAAGTCTATGTGCTGCAGGACGATGTTGACGCTTTCCTCATCGGAGCGATCGAACGGCAGGAAACGGACCATGCTGTAGTCGTCGATCTGAAAGGCAACCGCCAGATTTTCAGACAGCGGGGGCGGGCCGAAGCAGCAATGGTTTATTGTTTTTAAAAAGAACATACTTCAACATCCACAGGTTGCTTTAAAAAAAGGAATGGATACTGGTACAACCCACTTCCATAGACAAAACGTTCAGAGAGACAGACAGAAAGTCACCTAACTCAGGGATCTATAACCCGGTGCCCTAATGCACAATGGCACACCCGCCAACACCTTTCCTGGTGCCCGCTAAGTGTTTTTAGAAAGTGGGGGGGGGGGCATATAGGGCTTTGCCCCACATGACTTCTGATTGGCCGTGCACATTTTTTACAAGGTTGCTTTGGCAGCAGCTGCCACCACAACACAAGGGCCTTCACGGTATGACTGGAAAGACGATGCGGCAGCCATTTTATGACTGGCTCCGCCTCCTGTGGCAGCCATTTTGTGAATGTGCCCACCATACTGTGTCAGAAGTCCAGAGGTGCCCCCAGGCTCAAAAAAGGCTGGGGACCCCCTGCTTTGACTTATAAAACCAAAGTCGAGGGTTAACCCCCCCCCCCCGATGCTGATATGCAGCAAATTCCAGACAGACAAAATAAAAACATTTTCCAACTAAAACACAGTTTATAGAATTCACTGCTATAAGACGCGCTTCGATGGCTTTGGAAAATGACGAGACATGGTCATGAAGGATACGTCTGTCAGCCACAATCAGCCACCACGTCTGTATGTAACTTCCATGCTCAGAGGCAGTCTGCCACCCAGAACCAGATGTTGGCCGGCAAGCAAGAAGGAAAGGCCTGACTTGGGTGTTTCCCAGAGGCATTTGGCTGGCTACCCTTGGAAACAGAATGCTGGACCAATAAGACGAGGAGGAGGAGGAGGAGGAGGAAAGATTGGATTTATACTCCACCCTTCACTACTGGAAGGAGTCTCAGAGGGGCTTTCAGTCTCCTTCCATTCCTCACAACAGACACCCTTTGAGGTAGGTGGGGCTGAGAGAGCTCTGACAGAAACTGCTCTTTTTCAAGGACAGCTCTTATCAGAACTACGGCTTGCCCAAGGTCACCCAGCCAGGTGCAAGAGGAGGAGTGGGGAATCAAACCCGGTTCTCCCAGATTAGAGTCCGCGCACTTAACCACGGCACCAAACTGGCACTTAACCACTACACCAAACTGCAGGAGGAGAAAGAGGAGGAGATTGGATTTATACCCCACCCTTCACTACCCAGAGGTGTCTCAGAGCGGCTTACAGACTCCTTTCCCTCCCCCTCCCCACAACAGACACCCTGTGAGGTAGGTGGGGCTGAGAGAGCTCTGACAGAAACTGCTCTTTTTCAAGGACAGCTCTTATCAGAACTATGGCTTGCCCAAGGCCATCCAGCCAGGTGCGAGTGGAGGAGTGGGGAATCAAACCCGGTTCGCCCAGATTAGAGTCCGCACACTTAACCACTACACCAAACTGACTCTCAAAGACTTCCAGGTAACCCAGCAGAGCTGCTCTTGGAGACAGCCTTCCTTTCCCCCAGCCCCTCCCCCTCCTTTCTCACTTCCCACCACAACATGACACGTGGATGACCAGCATGTACGGCCTTCAGCACCCGCAAGAGACTGTCCCGGCTGTGGAAATCAATCGGCTGCTGACAAAGGTGGGGGAAGAGTCGATCTGTCCAACGTGGACCGTCAACCAGCCCCGAGAGCGGCACGTTCCGTGTCCGCAAGCCGTGCGCACAGACATACCAGTCCACAGATGGCCTTTGTCAGCTTCTTGAACTTTTTGCTTTGGAACAAACCGGTCGAATCTTCCAGCATAGAATACATATCCGGGTCTAGATACCTGGAAGACAAACGGTGGGAAAGCGGTTGTATCACAAAGGCCTTGTGCTACTGCAAGGAACCGTAAACGCTTCCATAACAACAACAACAACAACAACAACAACAACAACAACAACAAAATGAGTATTTCCTTTAAGCATTACCTAAGACGGGGTGGCCAAACTTGCTCGATGTAAGAGCCACATAAAATAAACGTCAGATGTTTGAGAGTCGCAAGACATGAACAGATATTACACGTTTTTACTGGGAAATAGGCAAATTGGCTTTTTATTAATGTTAAATGAGACCGCCAAAAACAATAACAAAAGCGATAAAAGCAGACGCTGATAATGATATTTATTTGTCCAATGATAGGTAAAGGTAAAGGTTCCCTTGCTCGAAAGCCAGTCGAATCTGATTCTAGGGTTGCGGTGCTCATCTCTGTTTCAAAGTCGAAGAGCCAGCGCTGTCCGAAGACGTTTCCATGGTCATGTGGCCGTCATGACTAAACACCAAGGCGCACGGAACGCTGTTACCAATGATATATGTCCAATGATATTTGTTTGCTAATGATATTTAGCTTTCCCAGTCGCCCTGCCGGGAGCTGCACAGTCGCATGTGGCTCCCGAGCCACAGTTTGGCCACCCCTGGCCTAAGATGAGGCAAGACAGGGTGGGTTGTTTCAGGACCAGATGTATGAACTGCTACAAACCAGCGCAGCAGCATCTACCCCCCCCCCCCGGACATTTCACTCTGTTTAATTCCAAGATGTGCAGAGGGGAGGGGCCAAGGCTCAGTGGTGTATACTTTGCATGCAGAACACCCCAGCTTCAGGTCCTAGCATCCCCGGTGATGGGAGTGCAGATAGCAGGAGGAGGAGGAGATTGGATTGATACCCCGCCCTTCACTCGGAGTCTCAGAGCGGTTTACAATCTCCTTTCCCTTCCCCTCCCCACGACAGACACCCTGTGAGGTAGGTGGGGCTGAGAGAGCTCTCTGGAGAACTGCCCTTGAGAGAACAGCTCTGACAGAACTTGTGACTGGCCCAAAGTCACACCAGCAGCTGCATGTAGCGGAGTGGGGAATCAAACCCGGTTCTCCCAGAGTAGAGTCCCCGTACACTTATTATTATTATTTATTTATTACTTTCGATTTACATCCCGCCTTGCCTGCACAGGCAGGCTCAAGGCGGCGTACAAGAAGTTAAAATACAATCAAACACAATGCAGAAATGCAGTACTATAAGATTTTCGCATAAAAGCAATATACATATAAAGTGCAGATCAATGTAGATGGCGACTGCTGTATAGTGATCCGGTGTAACAAGGCCAGCATCCATAGTTGTTCTTAGTGCTTGTTCATCAGTGGTGGCTCCTAATCAAAGGCCTGGTGGAAGAGCTCGGTTTTACAGGCCCTGTGGAACTGTACAAGGTCCCGAAGGGCCCTGATGTCCTCTGGGAGCTCATTCCACCAGTGTGGAGCCGCCACTGAAAAGGCCCTTGCTCTGGTGTTGGCCAATCTGACGTCTTTCGGACCAGGGAGATTCAGGGGATTTTGCAGCCCTGACCTCACTTAACCACTACACCAAACTGGCTCTTAGAGGAAGGACCTCTACCCGAGACCTTGGAGAGCCACTGCCAGCCAGAGCAGAAAGTCCTGATCTAGGTGAACCAAGAGGTCTCACTTGCCCAAGCCTGCTTCTGGGATTGAGTTTGTCGACAATAGTCACCTCCTCCAGATACAGCAGAGATGGTGCACACCGAGGGACAGGAAAATTGGCCACCTGGGGGCTTACTCCTCTTCCGTTATGGACCCCCCCCAACCACTATGGTCACCTTGGAAGACCCCGTTTGGGTGGCCCCACCTTTTGAGGTTAGGCAGGTGGCAACCCAGGAGAAGGGCCTTCTCGGTTGTGGCACCAAAAATCTGGAGCACTTTCCCCAGGGAGACCCGCCTGTCCCCTTCTGTTGCTGTCTTCTGTCAGTGGGTGAAAATGTTTCTGTTTCATTTGGCTCTCCCTCAGGGTTCTCTCCTTCCCAACCAAGGTTTTAATGGCTGTTTTTATGTCTTCGTGTATTTTAAGTCTGTTTTTAATCTGTTGTGATGATAGGAGGGCGTTGTATCAAGTACGTTTGAAATCGTTAGCCACCTTGGAGGCCCTTGTGAGGGCAGAAAGGGAGGGGGGATGTAAATTTTGTAAATAATAAATAACTAATAATAATAGAGGAGAGAAAGAGAGGCAGGGGTGGCCCTGCAGAAACAGGACAGGATATAACCGGTGGATCCTTGGATCTTGGCCCAGAGTTGCCAAGAGAAGGACTCCGTGGTGCCGCAAACTTACTTTTCCATTTCCGCTTTTGCTTTCTTGCTCAGCAAGTCCATCTTGGTCATGATGTTGACTTGGGGAGCCTCCAAAGACACCATCGCACTGAGGGCCGCCATAACGCCGGAGATAAACTGGCAGGGAGCGACACAAAGGAAGAGAGACGTCAAGAGGACCGGAAGGGCTTCCCCTAAGAGCCACCCAATTGCCGCTCCCCCCGCCTCGTAAAGGTTACGGGCCCCCAAACTCAAGGGCCCTGTGGATGTAAGGAAGTGATAGACAAGGTCAAATCGGGACAGTGGCCGTCTGCAGGTGGCAGATTTGGGGGAAATAACAGGTCAGTTATTTAACTTATTCTATAGAATATACCAAATGCTCTCAGAGTCTAACATGTCAAACTAGCTAACTTATATTGAGACAAAAATTTGGTGTAGTGGTTTGGTGTAGTGGTTAAGTGTGCGGACTCTAATCTGGGAGAGCCAGGTTTGATTCCCCACTCCTCCACTTGCACCTGGCTGGATGACCTTGGGCAAGCCGTAGTTCTGATAAGAGCTGTTCTTGAAAAAAGGGCAGCTTCTGTCAGAGCTCTCTCAGCCCCGCCGACCTCCCAGGGTGTCTGTTGTGGGGAGAGGAAGGGGAAGGAGTCTGTAAGCCGCTCTGAGACACCTCTGGGTAGTGAAGGGTGGGGTGTAAATCCAATCTCTTCTCTTCTTCTTCTTAAGGCCATGGGTATATTTTTGGATTCACTGACTATGCTCCCATCAGCAGGCGCATTCCGGTTGATCAAACAGAGGATGTTGGATATTGAGCATCAGGAGTTAGAGAGTCTCGCCAACAAAACCGGCTCTCCTCTGAGCTTTGTGATCCCCCTCCCTGTCGGTAGGATGGCTTCATATTTAGCCTCCCTACAAGCGCCACAGCTACGCAGCGCTCTCTCTTTAGCCAGATGCAATGCTCAGCCTCTCTGCCATTCTATATGGTGGATTCAATAAGACAGCATATGCGGCTAGACATTGCCCTTGAGAATTCTAGATGTGTTGGGATGGTCTCACATGTTTTGTTGCGCTGTCACTTTTACGTAAATATACGCTCGGAATATCTAAACTCTGTATTGGCTAACATGATGGGTTTTTTTCAGATTCCCAGAAAGTTTGCAAACTTTCGAATGATTCCTCTGTTGAAGTAACTGAGAAAACGGCTAAGTTCCTTCAATCCGCCATGCCGCTACGCCAAGGAAAAGTACAGACGTAACCGATTATTTCATTCAATATATTTGTAATGCAGTGTCCTACTTGTATACTTTTATAATGACTCGATCTACTGATATATGCCACTGAAAGCTGACTTGACTTGAACTTATTCTATAATACTTTTACCCCTGCATTTCTGCTCAGCACACAAACATCTGGAGACCTTTCCAGCAAGGAGCAAAATCCTGCTCAGATGGGCACATCGTAGGCATTAAGAAATTACAGAGGGGCTCGATCCTGGGATCTTGGGATCTGTGTTCAGCCCTTTATGTTAGACAGCAGCAGCAGGGGCACGGAACGCTGTGACCTTCCCACCGAAGTGGTACCTATTGATCTACTTGCAGTTTCTTGCTTTCGAACTGCTAGGTTGGCAGGAGCTGGAACTAGAGACGGGAGCTCACTCCGTCATGCGGCAACTCAGGTCTCGAACTGCTGAACTACTGACCTTCCACAGCCTGTAGTTCAGCGTCTTAACCACTTGAGCCACCGCAGCTCCCTAGAAAGGTACATTACGCAGGCACAAAGGGAATCTTATTATCTTTGGTGATTTCTACATGGGGAAGGGATTTTGTGGTTTCGCTGCTGCAGCTGCTGATAAAGAGCGGCAGCCACGGGGCTTCTACATGGCAGGTTTCCTCGCCGTTTTCCTACACCGGGCCCCTGTCAGTGGCCACCCCCCCCCCACCACTGAGAATTTGCAGTTTAAAAAAATGGTACTAGCACACTGTTATATCGATATACCATAATAATATGCGTGACAAATTTTCTGAATTCCCAGCTTTCGTTTTTTAAAAAGTAAGTCTCTAGCTCTTTCTGTTGCAGAGACATGCCTTTCCCTTTGTATTGCCACAAGGAAAAGGGCTAAGTTTTTAACTAACAAGGAAAAAGGGCTAACTGGGCCAATCTGGATGAAAATTCCTTCCTGACTCCACAGTGGTGATTGGCATTATCCTGGGCATGCAAGAAAGGGCCACAAGAGCCAAAGACAAATTCACAGAATCAGCATTGCTGTCAGATGGCCAAAGATGGAGAGCCCAACCTCTTCCTGAGGAAGCCTGTTTCACTGATTAAGCATCTTAACTGTCAGAAAGCTCCTGACAATTCCTACAGGACATGGCTTTATTCCTCGATTTACTGACAGGCAGGCAGAGAATCCCCACTTCTCTACATAGTTCGCGAGATATTATAAAAAAAAGAAATGAAGAGCACCAATTCCAAAACATTAGTTTGGGATTAACTGTGAGATACCTTAAAGGATTCCACCATAAACTGAGAATCGACAAGAAAAACTCCACAGACGCGGAATTCCCACTGTTGAAGCTGTTCCACCAGCTGCTTCATCACTGGCAAATGGGTGTACAGCTCGATCTGACCTGCGGGACAGATCCAAATTTAAATACACCTGCACACAGAGACAGATAAAAATAAAGAACACAGGAAGTCTAAGTTAGTTGCTCAAACTGCACACGCCTATAAACTGGGGTTTGCCAGTCTGGGCTGGCAAACCTTGACTTGTAGTTGGCACTGACCAACTTGCCTCTCCTCTGAACATAAGAGAAGCCATTCTGGATAAGGCCAATGGCCCATCCAGTCCAACATTCTGTGTCACACAGTGGCCAAAACCCAGGTCCCATCAGGAGGTCCACCAGTGGGGCCAGAACTCCAGAAGCCCTCCCACTGTTGCTCCCCAAGCTCCAAGAAGACCGAGCATCACAGCCCCAGACAGAGTGTTCTCTCTGTACCTTGTGGCTAATAGCCACTGGTGGACCTCTGCTCCTTATGTTTATCCAATCCCCTCTTGAAGCTGTCTGTGTGGTTTTGGCTTTGAGGCAGTTAAACCCTGAGAGCATAAGAGAAGCCCTGCTGGATCAGGCCAGTGGCCCAGCCAGTCCAACACTCCGTGTCACCCAGTGGCCAAAACCCGGGTGCTGTCAGGTGGTCCACCAGCAGGACCAGAACTCCAGAAGCCCTCCCACTCTTGCCCCCAAGCACCAAGAATATGGAGCATCACTGCCCCAGACATAAGAACATAAGAGAAGCCATGCTGGATCATCCAGTCCAACACTGTGTCACCCAGTGGCCAAAACTCAGGTGCCATCAGGAGGTCCAGCAGTGGGGCCAGAACTCCAGAAGCCCTCCCACTCTTGCCCCCCAAGCACCAAGAATAAGGAGCATCACTGCCCCAGACATAAGAACATAAGGGAAGCCATGTTGGATCATCCAGTCCAACATTCTGTGTCACCCAGTGGGCAAAACCCAGGTGCCATCAGGAGGTCCAGCAGTGGGGCCAGAACTACAGAAGCCCTCCCACTCTTGCCCCCCAAGCACCAAGAATACGGAGCATTACGGCCCCAGACATAACAACATAAGAGAAGCCATGTTGGATCAGGCCAGTGGCCCATCCAGTCCAACACTCTGTGTCACCCAGTGGCCAAAAACACCAGGTGCCGTCAGGAGGTCCAGCAGTGGGGCCAGAACTCTAGAAGCACTCCCACTCTTGTCCTCCAAGCACCAAGAAGACAGAGCATCACTGCCCCAGACAGAGTGCTCCATCTATACCTTGTGGCTAACAGCCACTCATGGGCCTCTGCTCCGTATATTTCTCCTATCTGGCACGAAATGAGGACTGTTGCAAGGGGGTTGGGGGCCACTCTGTCATTCACGCCTGACTTTGGAGACACAGAAGCAGCCAGAGAGCTTCACACTCCTTCTGGTGGCCAAAGGGGATGTTGTGGCTGGCGTGAGGCCAAACGTGCCATCGCAGAACCAAAATTCCCAAGTGTGGCCGGGCCCGATTCAACTTAGCATCAAAGCACAGGGGAAAGAGGGGGGGGGACTTCAGCCTTCCCCCAACCCTATTCTTCCCTCCTTTACTTCAACTGTATACTGCCTCTCTCCCCAATGAGGATCCACATCACTCTGCTCGCTTCCATTTCATCCTCACAACAACCCTGTGGGGTAGGTCAGACTGGGAGTGCCTGACTCTCCCAAGGTTACCCGGCGAGCTTCTGTGACAGAGCGGAGAATCTAACTTGGGTCCTCCACAGCTAGGACTGTCAAACAGATCAAACTGATCTAGTAACTGCTTGCTACCTCTATCACCTAGACATATATCTCAATAGTGGGGTAGGTCAGACTGGGAGTGCCTGACTCTCCCAAGGTCACCCGGCGAGCTTCCGTGACAGAGCGGGGAATCTAACTTGGGTCCTCCACACCCTCATCCAACACTCTGACCACACCACGCTGGCTCTTGTGTCTGGTATTTGCACAGCTGAACTTGATGGACAGTCGGGCCCTGATCTCATCCCCCGGGACCTGGCTGTACAGTGACTCCTGCAATGGCCTGTTCACTTCCAGACTGGATTATTGTAACGCTCTCTACGGGGGCTGCCCTTGATCCTGCTCCGGAAGTTGCAGCTAGTGCGAGGGTGCTGATGGTGACGCCCGTGCAGGCTCATGTCCACCTAGTGCTGCGTGAACTGCACTGGCTGCCTATTGGATTCCGAGTCTACTTCAGGGTGCTGGTGCTTACCTTTAGAGCCCTATACAGGCAGGGGCCAGCATACCTTTGAGACCGCCTCTCCCCATATGAGCCCCAGAGAGCACTGAGGTCCACCAATCAACATCTTTTGGTGGTCCCCGGCCCCAGGGACATCTGAATTGCCTCGACCAGGGCCAGGGCTGTTTTGGCCCTGGTCCCCGCCTGGTGGAATGAGCTCCCATATGAGATCAGGGCCCTGAAGCCAGTTTGGTGTAGTGGTTAAGTGCGTGGACTCTAATCTGGGAGAACTAGGTTTGATTCCCCACTCCTCCACTTGCACCTGCTGATGTGACCTTGGGTCAGTCACAAGCTCTGGCACAGCTGTCCTTGAAAAAGAGCAGTTTCTGTCAGAGCTCTCTCAGCCCCACCCACCTCACAGGGTGTCTGTTGTGGGGAGGGGGAAAAGAGTTTGTAAGCCGCTCTGAGACTCCTCTGGGTAGTGAAGGGTGGGGTATAAATCCAATCTCTTCTCTTCTTATTATTATTATTAAACTTCTGCAGGGGCTGCAAGATGGAGGTCTTCCACTGGGATTTTGGTTGAGGTGGCAGACGTCCCCCCACTCTTCTCTGGCCAATCTCCCACCAGTGGCCTGGATCTAAACAGACAATGCTCCCTCTAAGCTGTGGAGTCCTGTGAGCGAAAATTCTACTTTGTGAGCTCCTGGCATTAAAGTTGTGAGCGAGCGATTGGGGTGCTGCATAAATTATGTCTGCTCTTGAGCCATCCTTTCCTTTAGCTAGGGCAAAAATGTGTGAGCCGGAAGCTAAAAATGGTGAGCTAGTCCACACTAACTCAGCTTAGAGAGAACACCAATTGGGGTACCCGCTATTGTATTTCAATCAGTTCGAATGACATCTCATCCATTTCTTTTCACACTATATTTTATGATTCTACTCTGTCTGAACTATTATTTTAACATCGTTTTAGAAGAAGAGGAGGAGACTGGATCTGTACACCGCCCTTCACTACTCAAAGGAGCCTCAGAGCAGCTTACAAACTCCTTTCCCTTCCCCTCCCTACAACAGATACCCTGTGAGGTAGGTGGGGCTGAGAGAGCTCTGACAGGAACTGCTCTTTTTCAAGAACAGCTCTGACAGAACTATGGCTTGCCCAAGGTCATCCAGCAGCTGCAAGTGGAGGAGTGGGGGAATCAAACCCGGTTCTCCCAGATTAGAGTCCACGCACTTAACCACTACACCAAACTGGCTCTCTTGTTTTAATTGTTTTATATTAATTGGCGTAAACTGCCCTGAGCTCCTGTACAGGGAGGGCGGCATATAAGAAGAAGAGAAGAGATTGGATTTATACCCCGCCGTTCACTACCTAAAGGTGTCTCAGAGTGGCTTACAAACTCCTTTCCCTTCCCCTCCCCACAACAGACACCCTGTGAGGTAGGTGGGGCTGAGAGAGCTCTGACAGAAACCGCTCTTTCAAGGACAGCTCTTATCAGAACTACGGCTTGCCCAAGGTCATCCAGCCAGGTGCAAGTGGAGGAGTGGGGAATCAAACCCGGTTCTCCCAGATTAGAGTCCGCGCACTTAACCACGACACCAAACTAAATAAGTAGAAGGAACCAACACTCTCGAGCAGATGAGGCTCCGCTTCGGCTCAGGACTGCAGTGTGGGGGGAGGAGGGGAATTCAGCCTTTCCCTGACCTGTGCTAAAGGTAACGTCTAGTTTGGGCCCAGGTGCTTCCGAAGCATGATGAGGGACTGAGTACCCCCCACCCCAGAGTTTCTGCATATGCACCGGAGGACTCAGAGGCATGCAGAGAGAAATCCCCCCCCCACCCTTCATGGTCTCTCCAGTGTGCACAGAACTAGAGGGAGGGGGTCTCTCAAGCTGCACCGGGGGTCCCAGGGGAAAAATTTATGGTCACTGCTGGTCATTATATCTGCAGACTTTTGAGTCAAAATGACAGAAAGAAAGACGGAAGAAATTGTGCACTGAAGGTCAAGTTATGCAAAGGGAAAATTTCCTTGGCTTTACCTGGGCAATCAAAAAGTATGTAGTCGTCTTCCACGTGGCCGAGACATTCTTCCAGCCAGTCAAAGTTATTTGCAAAGTATTCCATGCAGAAAACCAAGCCACCGTTGGGGCCAAACCTCAGAGAATCATCTTCCATGACATCATCCACTTCTATTAATTCTCGGATGTCTGAAAGAAAGAGGGCACAGTTTTGCTCGATAGCTGAAGGTCCCAGCCACTGCCTTGCTGGATCAGGCCTAAATTCATCGGATCCCAGAACATCTCTCCCAACAGTGATCTGCCAGGGGCCTCTGGAAAGCAGGACGCAAAGGTGGCAGCCCTCTTCTCTCGTTCCTCCCCAGCAGCTGGTATTTAAAGCTATACTGTCCCTGAATACGACTCTAGGGGGTGGTGCTCATCTCCATTTCCAAGTCAAAGAGCCAGCACTGTCCGAAGACATTTCCGTGGTCATGTGGCTGGCATGACTAGACACCAAGGCGCATGGAACACTGTTACCTTCCCACCGCAGTGGTACCTATTTATCTACTTGCAATTTCTCACTTTCGAACTGCTAGGTTGGCAGGAGCTGGGGCCAGAGATTGGCGCTCACTCCGTCATGTGGCACTTGGGTCTGCAGCTCAGCGCCTTGAGCTCTGAGCCACCATGGCCTCCCCTGAACATGAAGGTTCTATTTTACAATTGGTTCATTGAATGTAAAGTCCTAGAAGGAACCTTGGATAGACCTCCTCCTCTCCCACTTTTTCCAGGGACTTCACATCTCTAATGGCAAATGATATTGCTTATATTTAAAGCCCTTCTGCTACATAATTTTGACTCTCTATGGTAGGTCTCCACTATCCGCACTTTGCTAATGTGGAGCAGAGGCCAAAGGCTTCCTAAGGCCACTTTGTGAAGTCATGGAAGAGATGAGATTTGAACCTGGGACTTGCGGGCTCACACCTCAGTCTCCGAGCCATCACACTGCAGTGACTCCCTCTAGCAGCGGAAGTCTCAGGCAGGGCTTTCTACAAGCTAGATACAGGCTCCGAGGGGTTCCCTGGCCATGTCTTCGTGTGCTCTCTGCTGAAGCCATGAACATACCTGCCATGACATTGTAGTCAAAATGTTCTGCGGCAGGATCCAGGTTAACTACTTGAACGGAGCGCTTCAGTGCTTCACAGTGCTGGACCATGGTGTGGCAGTAAGTGCTCTGGAAGAAAGAACGCGACACATGCATAGAATAGCAAAAACTGCTAGGCGAGTCCCTGCCAGCAAACAGCAACTGGACAGCTATGGGGAGAAGCTGAGTCTTCACTCCACCCAATAATGGTCGGTTATTTCTATTATATAGAGCAGGGGTGTCTAACATGCGGCCCGGGGGCCAGATCAGGTCCCCGGAGGGCTTCCATCAGGCCCGCAGTGGAACCGGCCATCTCCTGCTTCCAGTTCTGCTGCTGGATCACCGCTTGCTTTGCCAGACTCTCGTAATCACTCAGCCATTTCATGTTTTAACCTGGGTCTTAGACTCAGAACTCTGAGCATGAGATTTCTGTGGTGAATGTCGATAAATCAAAAGTAGGTTTGCAGCTTACAGAGCTCATGGTTTAAGCATGTTTTTAAGTAAAAACATACCTTTGTGTTTGTGTCCTTTATAAAGTTTATACCTCCGCTACCCAGCATTACATTTTATATCACACATGGCCTGGCCCAACAAGGTCTCGTTTATGTCAGATCCGGCCCTCATAACAAATGAGTTTGACACCCCTGATATAGAATAATATTGAATAGTTCATGTAATCTGCTCTAGTCCCTACAGAGGGATATGTCATCACCTCAAAAAAGCCACTGATCGTAAGAGCCTTGGCTAGTTAGCAAAGTGTCCAAGGAAACATTTCTCCAGAGGTGCCTTTGGCACCCAGAGGCTAGGCATGGCCTCTTCTGCAGTGGCACCCTTCCCGTGGAACGCCTGTCCTAAGGAGGTTATCCAGTTTGTTATTCACAGAGATACAAACAGAAGAACAGGCATGCGGAAGAGAAACTATTACTAAGGGAGACCAGTAGATCAAATAGCCTGAGGAAAAGGTGGGTTAAATTATTACACAAAGGCACATTCCAAGACAAGACGCAGCCCAAAGAGGAAATGATCCCATCAGAGTTTGTGTGGACCACTCCCAATGAGCAAGCTGAATCGCAAAGAAGGACAGTTACTTTCTGTAGTATGGAAGAGCTGGATTCGAGTCCAGTAGCAGCTTTGAGGCCAACAAGATTTTTGGGCTATAAGCTTCTGACAGTCAAAGCTCCCTTCATCAGATATATCTAAGACTTGTGCCTGACAAAAGGGAGGTTTGACTCTCAAAAGCTCATACCCCCAAAATCGTGTTGGACTTGGAGGTGCCACCAGATTTGAATTTAGCTCTTCTACTGCAGATCAACATAGGTATCCTTCCTGAAATTATAGTAAGCAAGCCATTCCCCCACATCTTTACTGAACCCAACTTTGCATCAAATTTGCCTCCAAATTTCAGCTCAGCAGTTTCACATGGGAGCCCCTCGTTGGAAGTCTTCTCCTTAATAACAGCAGCCTTTATGGTCTGCTAAGCTCAAGTGGCTCAGACGCTGAACTGCAGACCGGAAAGTCAGTAGATCAGCAGTTCGAGACCCGAGGGCCACATGACCACGGAAATGTCTTCGGACAGCGCTGGCTCTTCGGCTTGGAAACGGAGATGAGCACCGCATCCCTAGAGTCGGATTTAACTGGCTTTTGAGCAAAGGAAACCTTTACCTATGCAATGCCCAGGGAGACTGAAAGGCTCCCCCACTGGCTCGAGGGTTTCTGTTGTTAAGGTCTGGATTGAATTGTTTACATCCCACCTCCCTTCAGATCTGGAACTCCGGGCCACGACGGGACATTCCCAAGTGGTCTCCCATCCAGGCACTGATCAGCCCCAGATCCCCTGACTTCTGCAAGGGGGCCTGCATTTGCACTTTCCAACCACACTCCAGGCCCAGTATTTGTTGCATGGAAATAAACAGGCATTTTGTGGCACCCCAAAGACAGACGACATTTTATTCCGTTATAAGCTTTCATGGGCCAAAGCCAGGATTGCCAACCCGCAATGGGCGGCTAGAGTTCTCCTACAATTGGCCTCCAGGCAACACAGATCAGTTGACCCCGGAGAAAACGGCTGCTCTGGAAGTCGGGCTGTATGGCATTTTATCCCGCTGAGTTACATAAGAACATAAGAGAAGCCAATGTTGGATCAGGCCAGTGGCCCATCTAGTCCAACACTCTGTGTCACACAGTGGCCCGAAATACCAGGGGCCATCAGGAGGTCGACCACCAGTGGGGCCAGGACACCAGAAGCCCTCCCACTGTTTTCCCTCCCAAACCCCGCCCTCTTCAGCCTCCACCCCGCAAACCTCCAGGTATTTCCCGACCCAGAGCGGGCGACCCGAGCCAAATCCCACTTCTGCAGGTGCAAAACACACACGTGTCTGAAGTGGTCCCCAGGCTTCTGTTTATTTGAGCTGCAACCAGAATAGCTTGGCCACCCTCTAGAATTTCTCGCATGCAGGGAGTCTGGCTTGGCAACAGGAAAAATGCTTCATGCCTTTGCTTTCTTAGCTCATTTACACTCCGCCTTTTCGCCCCAGGAGTAGCAGCAAAGACAGCTAGTCCCTCAGTGTTCCCTCTAAGCTGAGTTAGTGTGAGCTAGCTCACAGTTTTTCAGCCTCCAGCTCACAGATTTTTGTCTTCGCTCAGGAAGGATGGCTCCAGAGCAAACTAATTTATGCAGTAGCCAAATCGCTCGCTCACAAATTTCATGCCAGTAGCTCACAAAGTAGAATTTTTGATCACAAGACTCCACAGTTTAGAGGGAACATTGGTCCCCATCTGGAGAGCCACGTGCGCAATGCAAGGCGGACCTCCACGACCTCCTGGGTCAGCCCAGGGCCGCCCAACCCTCCTGCTCCGAAACGACCCTCTTCCCCCAGCTCACCTTCCCGCTCCCCGCCGGCCCCATCACCAGCTGGGCGAAGCGGGGCATGCTGAGGGGCTCCTTTTGCCCTGCCCAGCCCCGGGAAACAGCGAGCGCCACTAGTTTGGCCCAAGGAATGTCCCGTAGTGGAGGCCGTCTTTGGTCCTCTCCTTCCCCCTCCTCTCTATGGTTTTCTCTCTGGTTCGACCCTTGACATCACTTCCGCAAAGACGGCAAGAGTCAGGGTTCAAACCGCAAAACTGACCCTGGCCATATAGGAGGTGGTGCCCTGGCTCGCCTTCTTATTCAGCTGTAACAAGAAAGTTTCGCGGGACTTTAAACTATGAACAGGTTATTTGCGGCAGGCCCTCGGGATACAAGTGGCTTTTATTGCGAGCGAAAGAGTTTGCGAGTCGATTTCGTGCAGGGAATTCACACTTGCCTTTACAGTACTGGTATTTGGTTTCCTCAGTATTTAAACTGAAGAAGTATGCATGCACACGAATTAAACTTGGCTGGTCTTCAAGGTGCCCCTGGACATAAACTTTGTTTTGCTGCTTCAGACCAACACGGCCACCCCCCCCCCCCGAATCAAAAACGATCTGTTAGACATTTTAAGCAATTTTAATGCGATTCACTATATTTACTGAGAACTTTTTATACCCTGCCTTTACATCAATTACCCACAGTAATCTTCATTCACACGAAAAACGTTTAAAATTGGCGCTTACAAAACCTTAAGGGAACAATAATACGACAATAAAAAGCTATTTATTAGATTTTATAAAACATCATCACCACCCTCATGATTTAATTTATACCCTGCCCTACCCCACAAATGGGCTCAGGGCGGCTTAAAAACCATCAGACAATTAAAACAATAGATGGCAGCGACAGATGATAACAAAAACCCGTGCCTCAAGTCAGCCAAGAAATAGCAGCAATAACTGAGAATGCCCACAGTTAAAATAGCTATTATAATAAATGCTGAAGTGAGCAGTGACTCAGGAAAGCTCACACCCTTCTACGTATTTTGTCAGGCTTTAAGGTGCTCCTGGACTCTTGCTCTTTTCTACTGCTACAGACAGACTAACACAGCGACCCATCTTAATAAATGCTCAGATTTTTCTAAAACAAAATAAATGAGACCGTCCACAGTTAAAGAGCCATAATAATAACAATAAATGCATTAAAAACAAATCAACCACACGTTTTCCAGCAGCTACTTTTTAGTCATTCATTCCCACTTTGACGGTGGCTGAGACGGCCCATCCCAAATCAGGCGACCGAAGGCGGAGCCACAGGCGGGTGGAGAGGCTCGCTGGGGGAACGCCTGTTGCTTGGGCAGAGACCTCGCGAGAAGCCGCCGGATCTCGCGCGATTTCCTGCCCCTGGCACTCTGACGCTCTGCCGGCGCGGCTGCTCCTGCATGTGCCGCTCAGGAGGTTGGCAACGGCAGGAGGAGGAACCACCGGCCCCTCCCCCCTGGCTTGGGGGCTCCCTGGGTAAGAGACGCGCGGCCCCCGCTCCCCTGGGGCGCTTGTCCGCCGAGCCCAGCCCTCAGCCTGGCATGACGCCTTGCCCCCCGCCCTGTGCCTTGCCCAGCCCTAGGTTGGCACCACCAGCATTGGCATTCTGCCCCCCCCTTTAAAAAAAGTTGGTACCTACAGCTTTTCCAGCCCCCCCCCCCCCCCCCCCACCACCCCCTGCGCACAACTTTCCGAAGCCCGCCCTCGCCCAGTTTTATGCGTTTGTAAATAATTTTTTCGATGCATCGCCCAAGGTGTGCCAAGTGGCTTGGGACATCTTGGCCATCCAAAATCAGCAATGGTCAGAACATAAGAACACAAGAGAAGCCAATGTTGGATCAGGCCAATGGCCTATCCAGCCCAACACGCTGTGTCACACAGTGGCCAAAAATACCAGGTGCCATCAGGAGGTCCAGCAGTGGGGCCAGGGCACTAGAAGCCCCTCCCACTGTTCCCCACCCCACCCCAAGCACCAAGAATACAGAGCATCCCTTGCCCCAGACATAAGAGCATAAGAGAAGCCAATGGCCCTTCGAATCCAACATTCTTGTGTTGCACAGTGGCCAAAAATACCAGGTGCCATCAGGAGGTCCAGCAGTGGGGCCAGGACACTAGAAGCCCTCCCACTGTCCCCCCCCCCAGCACCAAGAATACAGAGCATCCCTTGCCCCAGACTGAGAGTTCCTATCTATACCTTGTGGCTAACAGCCATTGATGGACCTCTGCTCCATAGGTTTATCTAAGTCCCTCTGGAAGCCGTCTGTAAGAACGTAAGAGAAGCCATGTTAGATCAGGCCAGTGGCCCATCCAGTCCAACAGTCTTTGTCACACAGCGGCCAAAACCCAGGTGCCATCAGGAGGTCCACCAGTGGATCCAACATGGTCATCCTCTACTGCCAGTTGCCCTAGTTTCAAAACCGGCTGTCTGCTTGTCTCAACCCGTCCCACTTAGATGACCTTTTCCCACAAACTCATGTGTTGCTTTGCATCGCTGTTGCTTCTCATGTTAGTCAGCATAGACTTCTTTAAAGAAAACACGAAGTTCTTGGTTTTTGGCAAAGACTAATTCCAGAACATTGAATTCAGATGCCCCTGTAATGAAAATTGCAGAACTGGTATGGCACCTGGTATTTCTGGCCACTGTGTGACAGAGTGTTGGACTAGATGGGCCTTTGGCCTGATCCAACATTTGGCTTCTCTTATGTTCTTATGTTCTAACTGATTGTTATTGGAGGAATTACTCCATGATGAAAGGGAAATCAAAATGGAATGCTGGCTCAGTCTCTTGTGGGAGCTAGTGTGGGAACGGGTGTCCTTTAGAGCCTTTGACAAGGGACTGATGTACCCATTTGTGGAACTAGCTTGTGCATTTGGTGTCCTCCCGATCCTCTTCCCCAGAATCCACAGCGATGAACAGAATTTCCCAGCTGTTTCCAGCTGCATTTTCATATGCGCTGTGACTGCACAGCTTTTCTATGTTTCTAATCTTTTTGAATGTGCTTGGTTGTGGCGACGTACAACTAATGTATAGGTATGTGTATCTGTATTTATTATTATAATATCTATGTTTTTGGCCATACTAGTAGTTTTCTAATTGCACCCTGTTGGGTTCAGTTTTTGCTAATTATGTGAATTTTGGTCTTCCAGTTTTTGTCTCTTCTCTTATCTCTCTCCCCCCACTTTCCAGTCTCAGGGGAATCATGGCCTGCCAAGATAAGTGTTGATTCCTAGGCTCACCATTGGTGCTGTCGTTCTTTTTTTGGGAGGATCTTTTTTCTTCTAGTTTGGTGTAGTTAAGTGTGCAGACTCTAATCTGGGAGAACCGGGTTTGATTCCCCACTCCTCCACTTGCAGCTGCTGGATGACCTTGGGCAAGCCACAGTTCTGTCAGAGCTGCTCTTGAAAGAGCAGTTTCTCTCAGCGCTCTCTCAGTCCCACCTACCTTGCAGGCAGTGTTCCCTCTAAGCTGAGTTAGTGTGAGGTAGCTCACAGTTTTTTAGCCTCCGGCTCACACATTTTTGTCTTAACTCGGGAAGGATGGCTCCAGAGCAAACTGATTTATGCAGCAGCCAAATTGCTCACTCACAACTTCAATGCCAGTAGCTCACAAAGTAGAATTTTTGCTCACAAGACTCCACAGCTTAGAGGGAGCATTGCTCACAGGGTGCCTGTTGTGGGGAGGGAAAGGGAAAGGAGTTTGTAAGCCGCTCTCTCTCTTTTTTTATAAATCAGTGCCAAAAACATGTGGCCAAACTGATGTATGTCAGAGCCAGTGTTCCCTCTAAGCTGAGTTAGTGTGAGCTAGCTCGCAGTTTTTTAGCCTCCGGCTCACACATTTTTGCCTTAGCACAGGAAGGAGGGTTCCAGAGCAAACTAATTTATGCAGTAGCCAAATCACGTGCTCGCAGCTTTAATGGCAGTAGCTCACAAAGTAGAATTTTTGCTCACAGGACTCCACAGCTTAGAGGGAACATTGGTCAGAGCTATGCTCACTTTGATGCTCAGAGGACATGTAAACTCCCTTTATATATATATATATATATATATATAGAGAGAGAGAGAGAGAGAGAGAGAGAGAGAGAGAGAGAGATCCGTTTATGCCATTGCACACTCTTAAGTCAGAAAACACTTTTGTGGCATTTCAGTATTCAACATAGAATATTTCAACACAACCCCAATACATAAATCATGCACTTGAAGTTCTATAAAGGATATTCTTGGTTGCTCTGTCAAGACCCATAACGGAAGGGTGGTCAGCCAGAACAACAAGGAACAAAGCTGAATTCAGACATTAAGTTCCCTTTTCCAACCATAGGGGCTGATGTAACTGTCAGTCAAGGCTGTGACGAGCCTCTGACATACATCTCTGACGTATACGGCAAAGCTCAGCCCTTTCTTTCTATCTCTGGGGTCAAGGAAGTCGAGGAAAGCTGGGTTAAGCTCGGTTGACTCAGACTTGAGGCTGACTAAGAGAGTCCCAGGAAGCTAGTTCCAGATACCCTATCTCAGAGGTGGCAAACATGCGGCTCGGGGGCAGGATCAGGCCCCCGGAGGGCTTCTATCGGGCTGTGAACCATCTGTCTTCTGCTTCTTCTCCCAGTTCTGCTGCTGCTGCGTCATCATAGGTTTGCAGATTACAGAGACACACCTGAACAGCATACTCAAGATTGCAACAGCACAGACATTTTGATGCAATAATTCAGAGCAAGAGGTGTCCGTTATCAGATACTGCTAAATAAACAAAATATAGCAAGAGTGCTAATGTTTTAGGCATGTTTTTATTTTAAGCAACCCCCCCCACCTTTGTGTTTGTGTCCTTTATAAAGTTTATATCTCTGCTACCTGGCATTACATTTTATGACACACGTGGCCCGGCCCAACAAGGTCTCATTTGTGTCAGATCCGGCCCTCATAACAAATGAGTTCGGCACCCCTGCTCTATCTATTTAGAATTTGATAGTGTATAAACATTCCCAGAAGGCAAAGATTATGTAAGGCAAAAGTCAGGTCCGTGGTTCTCGGTACCTGAAGGCCACAGAGCACTTAGCAGAGTCCTGAAGACTCCTGGGAAACAGAGCCTGAGATTCAACCATAGAAGCTAATTGCTATAGAAATTAACATCTCATAGGTTTATCAGGGGAC